GGTGATAAAGACATAGATTCTCATACAAGCATATCTAATCATTCAAGTAAAACACAAAGAAGCTAGTTAAACAAAAAGAAACGAGACAAGCACAAAAACACAAACATCCTGACAATTTAGTGGTCTCTAAGAGACAGATAAATGAATATAATGAATATACATGCAAAGTCTCAAACAAAACATAAAATGCTTTTCCTAGGGCACTCTCAACTTGTCTAATATATAAAGTGGTTAGTGCAGGAATCCAAACCAGCTTCTTTACCTTAGCAGCCTAAAAACATCAGCAGTATTTGTTACATGTCCCCCTGACACACACAAAGAACTCTTATTATATATGACACTCAAGATCTCAGACCATTCTGGATGCAAAAATTATTTACAATTCTGAAGTTAAATTCATGCCAGGCCACCTCTTCAACATACTTAAACCACTTCCTTTTCAGAAGATTTGGTAATAATACTTTAGAATCATATTTAGGCAATAAAAAATGATTTTTAATAATATCCCAGTGAGAAATGCTTTAAAATATTGATATTTCCTTAAATATTATACCTTAAACTGGACATTTTATACCATTTTTCCTACTTCTGAACACTTTTTGATGTGTAGTCTAATTTTACTTAGACAATTTTATATCCTTAAATATATAAATTCTAGAATCTTTTGGAATAGACCCTATTTCTAGGACAAAGGACAGTAAATTCAACATACAATATATGACAGGTGAATAGAGTCACTCATTTATGCCTATAATCTGCATAATTAATACGAAGGCTATTTGATGTGCCATGTCTTCACATCAGTACAAAACAGTCACTAGCCAAAACATAAACCAAAAAGAACCAAACCCACCGCCATCAAGTCAATTCCAACTCAACAACCCCCATAGGGTTTCCCAGGCTGTAAATCTTTACAGAAGCAGACTACCTCCTTTTTCTCCCGCTGAGCAAGCTGGTGGGTTCGAACCACCGACCTTTTGGTTAACAGCCCAATGCCTTAGCCACACCACCACCACAGCACCTTAGCCAAAATACAAGTATATACTTACCTGGCAAGTTTTAAAGTTCTGAGTAGTAAGTAGTAAGGATGAGGAAAAATCAAAGGGATGAAAAACTAAATGCAAAATTTAAAGATAAAATGTTGGCCTTTGCAAGAGATGACAGAAAAACAGCAAAACAAGATTGGAAAAAAATGGTTTGCATCCGAGAAACACCAACTCACTCACCTCAAACAGTTCTTATTCTTATCTTGTATTTCTTTTCAGGTCAAACAGAGTGCTGGGTTTTAACCACTTGGTATGCTGGCTATTCTGAGTCTCAAGGCATACTCATGACCCAATCCTACCCTCCTCACACGGACTTTGGTTTGTGTTCATTACTGTATTCTCAAGCCCTATAAAAGTGCCTGGCACATAAATTGATGCCCCAAAATAAAAACTCTCCCAAGAGCAGTATTATTACCATCCTCATGTTATAGATGAGGAAGCTAAGGCTTTGCAAGGCTGAATAACTTGCCTAGGGACATCACAAATCCTTGAGCCAGAAACAAACCCAGGTCAGTCTGATCACAAAATCCTTGCTGGTATTCAACACTGGGCAGGATAACTTCTTCATGTCTCACACTTCTGTGTCTTACTGATACAGAGCTCTTTACTTAGGGGAAGGCTTCCTACAAGTTTCAACTTTTCCATCAACCTTTTCCTAGGCAAGGAGCTCTGGTGGGGTGGTGACCAAAATGATGGCAGATCAAACCCACCAGCCACTCCATTGGGCAGAGACAGCAGTCTGCTTCTGTAAAGATCTACAGTCTTGGAAACCCTATGGGGCAGTTCTGCTCTGTTCTAAGGAGTCAGTATGAGTTGGAATTGAGTTGATGGCAGCGGGTTTGGTTTGGTTTTTGGTTTTCGCAGGCATCTGCAACCTCTGATTCCCACTGAGGATCTATGTAGACCTCTCTCTCTCTCTCCTTTGCCCTGTGCCTTCCCTAGAGGCACTTTAAACCCCTTATTTACTTATCTCTCTCTTCTGTCAACTCTAAGCTTCCCCAGGGCCTCTAGCACGTGGTTGTTGTTAGTTGCCTTTGAGTAGCTCTGAATCATGACCACCACCTGTCTGTCAGTTTGTAGTACTATGGATAGTATTTTCAGTACCATCAGGATCACTCATGGTGGGCAAGTTTCAGCAGAGCTTCCAGACTAAAACAGACTAGGAAGAAAGACCTGGCAATCTTCTCCCAAAATCAGCCAATGAAAAAAGCCTTATAAACCTGCCACATGGTAGATGTTGAATAAAATAAATGTTTAATGAATGAATGAACAATATCCTGAGATGAAAAGGGACCTTTTTGCTCAGGTCCCTAACCACAGGCAACCAGAGACTACAGTTTTCCTTGGCATGGAGGTGGCAAAGGCATGCCTGAGATTCCCTGCCCACACCACAAAAGAGCATCACGGTGCTATGTAAAAGGCAGTTTTTCATGTTTTGAGTCATCTAGTGGGAGAGCAATGCGGCTTGAAAACTTTAAGAATCAAGCATAAAATTTATCTTTTAAAAGTGGATAGGGTATCAGTTCTCAGTTTTACATACTGTTGGTTCTAATTGAAACACTGTTCTCAGTGATTTTGTACATTTTGAGAAGTTTTCTTTTCATACCCCTTGGCTTAAAAATGCAATGCCATAAACCCACCATATTCCCAACACCTATGAGAACAAAAACTGCTTGTCTTTTACCAAATGGGAAAATAAAGCAGAACTTGTGTGTCTGGTAAAGAGGCATTCAATAAATATATTATTATGCTGCTGTTTGTAAACTCTTTCTGAAAGCACATGTGCCTATTTCAGGCGAGTGAATACTAGGTAACTTTCACTAGATGGTTTTCATTTTACTGGTATGAACACCAGGTTCAAACTATAGCTAAAAAATAACTGGCTTTTCTTTCTTTTAAAAGTATAGTATAAAGAGTTTAACTGATCATCACTGAGTACTATATGTTGTTGTTGTTTGCCGTCGAGTCGGCCCCGACTCATAGCGACCCCTCCTTGGGTTTCTGAGGCAGTATCACTACGGAAGCAGGATTGCCCAACCTTCCTTCCGAGGAGTGGCTGGTGGGTTTGAACCGCCAGCCTTCTGGTGAGCAGTCAAGTGCCTTAGGCACTATGCTACCAGAGCTCCTTAAATTCAGTATTCTGGCTCTAAGAATTTATAACCAAATGTACTAATTTAAGACAAATGGTACTCATTTAAGATAAAAAAAATTTTTTACACACACACTATTCAAGTCACAATCTAATGCTAATTTATTAATTTCTTCTAGCCCCACCTATAAGTGGGATATAAAAAGGATTTATAAATAGAGTACTATAAAGGTGGGACAAATTTAACAACTGGAACACATTATTTACTTTCAAACGAATACTTTCCCAAATATTCATGCATACATTTGGCAAAGAGTGAAAATCATTTTGCCAAGCTAGATCCCAGCCTCTTAGTTGATTGTCTCCGGCCCCACCCCACCCCTTCTCTATCCTTCCTGGCTAGGAATACCCTCCTGACTCATCTCTGCCTAAGTCCATCACTTCCTTGGAGACCTGGCTCAAGATTTAGCTCCTTGAAAAAGACCTCCCTCACTAATCCCCACTTCCACTAACTACTTCCTAACTTTGCACCCCCCTGGCATTTCATGTCGTTTGCACCACATCATCACAAACTTCATTTGTCTTTCCCTCACTGTACATTGGTTTGCATTTTTTCTATCATTTCCTCAACATAAAGACCAAATACGGACAGCATCTTCTCCTTTTATATCCTCTTTTACTGAGGTGGCAATAAGTATTTTTTGAATGACTGAACCACAAGCAAAAGCCAATCGTTTAAAAATTTAAGACAGTAACTGGTTTTTCAGATAGCATTTACAATACACTATCATCTCTACTATGCATGCGTCCTTAGAAGGTACGAGATACAATTCTGCCTTAGTTCTATCAATTCCTCATACAAGATCCGGATTACAGATCACATAGATACTTAAATCAGAAAACCAAACCCGTTGCCGAGGAGTCCATTGCGACTCACAGAGACCCTGTAGGCCAGAGCAGGGTTTCCAAGGCTGCAAATCTGTATGGAAGCAGACTGCTACGTGTTTCTCCCACCCAGTGGCTGGTGGGTTCGAATCACCCACCTTTCGGTTAGCAGACTAGTGCTTAACCAAGATAAAGAAGGTTCCTGGCTATTCAAATGTATCTCGTGATTTACCATGTCAAGTTTCTCATAAAAACGACATGCTTGTCAGTGCTAGGACGCTGACACCAGTCTCTTGTAAAAGGGGCATAACTCTAGCTGGCAGTAACTGTTCAAACACATGAGCCTCCACTGTTAAACAAGGCTCATTAACCACACAAACTTGCTGTTTCAGCTTTCTGGCTTCAAGGAAGTGCTATGATCGACTTTGGTTATTGTTGAGAGCCAATGATGGGTTAAATTCCCATAAATTAACCAGCGTTTGGGTGGTTTGTCCAAGTATACTGCTGGCATCAGTCTGGATGGATTTTTTTTTTTTTTTTTTTTTAATAGATCCGCCGGCCTCCGGGAGCCAGCGGTGAGTAAAGAACGAAGCACCGCGGCAATTCTCAGCAAGCAAAGCGAGACCTGCAAACTCGAGCCGTCCGGGCTCCCTTAGTTCTTAGCCACAGCTTATCGTGCGGCGGGGGAGGGGGGCTTCAGACGCGGCTGCTCCTTACGAAATCGCAGCCAAGACTGACTTGAGAGTGCACGCCACACTTCGGCGGCTGCTCAACTTTTTCTGCAAGGAGCATCAGTTTTTCCACCCTCAATGCTCCAGAAGATGGGGTACAGGAGATTATCAGCCATAGGCAGAGGGGAAGGAGAGCAACCCGAGGAGGAGGGAACGGGTTCGCTCCGCCCAAGGGGCAGGGTGGCAGAAACAAAGTGCGCGCCGGCGAGCCCGAGCGCCGCCGCGGCCCGCCCGCCCGGCCCCGCTCACCCTCCAGCAGCACCTCCTTGCCCGCGCGCTTCAGCGCCTGCACGGCCTGGTCGTGGGTGGCCTGGCGCAGGTCGGTGCCATTCACCGACAGGATGGCGTCGCCCAGCCGCAGCGCCCGGCTCTGGTCGGCCGCCAGCCCCGGGAAGATCTTGGAGATGAGAATCGGCATCCGGTTTTCGCGGCCGCCCTTGATGCTGATGCCCAGGCCGCCCGCCTCCTGCTTCACCACCCGCACTCGGCGCACGGGTGGCGACGCGCCCGCCTCGCCCGCCGAGCTCCGCGACGGTGCTGGCGGGCTCGGGGGACCCAGGCCGCGGCTCGGACTCGCAGGCAATGAGTCGCCGGCGCCGCCGCCGTTCGGAAGGCCATTGAAGGCGGCCGCCGCCGGCCCCAGAGCGGGCTCGGACTCGGCCGCCGCAGCGTCGCCCGTCAGGCTCAGGTTCTCGCCGCTCAGCTCGGCCACCACCCGGACCCAGCGCTCCCTCAGCAGCAGCTCCACCAGCCCCGCTTTGGTTGCCCGCGTCCACACCGCCATGGCCGGCCCTGCTCCTGCCGCCGCAGTCGCCGCAGCTACCCTCATTCCAGTCAGGCAGCCTCGGCGCTTCCCTCTTCCCGCCCGAGGGGGCGGGTCCGGCCACTCCCCCCCCCCGGTGGTGATTCATTATTCATGAGAGGTCACGCCCACCTTCCGGCGCGGGCGGGGCGGCAGAGAGAGGCTGGCGGTACAGCTTCCGGGAGGGTAAGAAGTTGCGAAGAGGGGTGCCTTGTAGCTGCTCACCGGACGTGGGCTGCCCAAGCGCCCCTCAACCCCCTGACCTCTACCATGCAGTTCACAGGAGCTGCCTGGGCACGGAAGGCAAAATGCAAAATCAGCTTCGAGAAGCACTCTGCAGTCCTGCAACATCTGGGTAGCTTGTTCATTCTCGCGTTGACTAGTTCATTGCGTAGTTACTGAGCGCTCAGCCCTTTGCTTGGACTCCTTTAGAGGGCTGGAGATGAGCTGTACGAGACGTAGTCACAGCTGAGAAATAGCAGTCTAGTGGGAGAGGAAAACGCATAACCAACCAACTAGGTGCTATAGTATGTGGTTTGTGATATGTAGAAAATGTCCCAGGAGCAGAGTGGAAGGAACATGTGGGGGACAACTTCACAAAGGTGACAATAGAGGGTGGATAGCTCAAACATTAGAAAAAAATAAGAAAAGGTCCGCAGGTATGAATCCCAGCATTTGTTACTCTGCTTTGTAGATTACCTGTTTACTTGCCTGAAATGCAAGAGAGGACCATGTCTTCTTCAGCCCTGTAGGAAGTCCTCAAAGATATTTGCAGAATGATGGTTATTTAGGAAGATGCCGGAATTCCAATATGAAAAGAGCATGGGGTCAGTGGAGGTAGCAGAGTGAGTGTGAAAAGCTCATATAATCAAACAATGAAGAGTTTGAACTTTATAGATCTTTCTTAGCCTGGGGGCCACAGACTTCTGTTGGGACAAGTGGAGATGGGCATCCCCAGAAAGTGTATGTAAAATTTGGACTGTAAGGTGAGTTTAGGCTTCTATCCAGTTCACAGAGACATCCCAGGGCCAAAAGCCACACGCAATGCTATGCCCACTGCAGAGCCTGCAACAGCCGGTACGCAAACACAGGTGATGCAGTCCGCTGGCTTCTTTCAGCTTCATGGGCTGGAAAGCTGAAGAAACTGAGGCCCAGAGAGCCAAAGACTGGTCCAGAGTCCCCAGTGAGGAAGCAGTGACCACAGCTCAGGCCTCCCAGCCTCTTGGTCCAGTGTTTCCACTACATAGCTGGGCCCTCAAAAATGAGGGTCCAGAAATCAAACAACTAAGAAACTGGCTTTCAGTAAAAACATGGAATCATGTTTTCTAACTTGCCTTCAGCACAGCATTTAAAGCAAAACCCCATGCTTTCATTCTGTGGGTGGAGGTAAAGAAAGGGAGTGTGCACCAATTTCTTCAAAAAAGGGACCATACACCTGCTTGTTCATGAAGTACACATTGAAGTTCATGAGCCATGTCCATGCACCACACTATAAATGCACATTCATGTGTGGGCAGAAACTTCCAAAGAGCCTCCAGTACTGGGAGTTAAAACAGTAAAACTAGAGGCTGGGAAGCACCCAGAGCCCAAATGAAGAAAGAATATAAAATGAGAAAAGTATTTAACAAAACAATCAATCTGCAAAGCAGAATCCTCTTTGCAATTAGCGGGACAGGATTTTCCAACCTGCAAATGTCAGCAAAAGCTCAATCCGCCAGCCCTCTCTTAAATTCAGCCGCAGGAAGGCCAGCTCGATGTTGCAGCGGGTCTTGATGTGCCAAAGTGCAGCAGTCACAGACACTTCTGGCTCCGCTCCAGCTGAGGCATGAGTCCCCAGGGGCCGGGGTTATGGGAATTTCTGCTTATTAGAGAGCACTTGGCAGCTAATTCCTTAGAGCAGGGATGCTATTGTTTAACACGTTTGCATCCATAATCACCCAGGGGGTGGGCACTTGAGGACACTTTTATTAGCAAAGGGGAACTGCTGGAGAGTCTTTCCAAGACTATCAAGACCTTTTTGGTCAACAGAATTGGAGGAAGTCAGATCTTCCAACTAAAAGTGAGGGCACTTATATAAGATAGCCAGTTATATAACAAAATATTTAACCCTGGGAGTAGAGAGAAGCTAACAGAGATGGGTTATTTGGAGTACATGGAGATTTTTCCTTAAAGAAATGTTTGTAATGTATCTGTACAAAATTTTCAAGGTGTATTTACAAGGCCCTCCATCAGAACCCAAATGAACTTTTCGCCATTCTTGGATCTGCCAAACTCACTTCGGTGTTCCCTGATGCCTTTCACATATGCTGTCTTCCAAACACCTCTGGCCTCCTTCCACCACTTTCTCACATGGCAAGATCCTTATCCCAGGTTTCCCTGCATAGCCAAGTGGTTGGGATTCTTACTTTGAAAGATCCCCCCCCCCAATGCCTGGTTGATATGTCCAAATAGATGATAAACTACAGGAAGGCAGGGACCACCCAGCGACTTATTTCTATAGGCCATTATTCCAAGGATATTGCCTCAAAGAGAAGGAACTCATTAAACATGTGAGTGATTGAAATTCAGTGTCTTGCGCTGTAGTCTTTTCAAATAACCTCTCTGAAGGTTACTGGTTCCTTGCAGAGTGAAAATTACCATCTAGGAAATCTCAAGTAGTCATGGAAATCCACTTACTGTGGAAAATGAAATCTACAAATAAAAAGAGGACCTATCTGTTTCCACAGCTTCTTAAGGACAGTGAGACAAGGTTAGATAATTCTTTGAACAGGGATGTTATTTTATCTGCCTCTAAAAAAAGAAAACGGCTGAGATAATTCTTAATAACCTTCCATTCCTGTCACCTATCAATATCTATTCTCCTCTGCTCGAGCTGTTCTCTTACTATTTCTCAGAATGGGGCAGGGCTCGTTGCTACTTTAAAACGAGGGGGTTAGTTTCATTCTCTTGGTTCCATAATTTCATCTTAAGATTCTGTGACTCAGGCTCTGATTCTGTGCTTTCTCAAACCATCAGGTTTGAAGGGAAGATGCAAAGAACAGTTTTTTTTTAAATCTCCCTTACAGTGTACGTAGAGTATAGCATGGATATTAAGAGCACAAGGTTCAAATCCTGATTTGGCCACGTACAACCTATATGACAACGGGCAAGGGGCTGAGGTCAGGAGGCTCAGTCTCTTCTTGGGAAAAATTCAGGTAACTTCTGCCTCTAAGTGTGGTTGTGAGGGTTGCATGAGATGATACATGCAAAGTGCTTAGTACAGTGGCTACAACATAAAAAGTATCTGCTGCTGTTATTATTACCTTTTGACCTTCAGAAGAAGCAATAATAAAACCTTTGGTAGAAACTCTCCAGTCGAGAGTCTATACTTTATCTAGGAATGAGTTTGCCATAATACCGTTTGATTCCAGGCTTAAAGGGCAAAGAGCCAAATTAATTTCAGTGACTAACATCTTGTAGAAAAGCTACAGTTGGGCGAAAGAGAGAAGATAATGCCAAGAGTCCGTCAAAGGAAAGAATTAGTGTAGCTGGGGCTAGTTCCAAGGTTTGAGTGTTGTGTAATTTCATAAGGAAGGAGGGCCCCAGGCGAAAAGCAGCTCTGAGCAAGCCTGAAGGTCACTACCACAAAGGCAGCTCAATTCCAGAGAAACAAAAGCAAGAACTGCTCAATTACTATGAAAGAAGAGGTGAAAGGGAGAAACAAGCTTGTTCAATAACCAGTCCAACTTTGAAAAATTACCCACACATAATTCTTCCCCAACTAGAAGACAGTGAAATCAACTGTCCATTTCAGTGGACAGTATAATTTTGCCTTCAGGGAAAAAATACCCTAAAACCTATTTTCTTTCCCGTAACAAACATGAAATTAAAGAGGAAAAGGTGTATATATCCTTTAGCTGATGTAAGCACATTTTTAAAAATTCATCCCGCCAAGGTAAATCACTATCCATCTGAAAGCCACAAAAATGGATTAACTGTCTCATGCATTATGACTATGGAAAACCACATCTGCTCACCACATTCATAATGAGAAGCAGCTGGTGATAGTTTTGTAGCGTTGTGTCTTTCTTTTTAGGAAAATTTTACCAAGGACATACTAAGCAGGTTAGTTTCATTGAATTCACTTAGCTATGGAAAATCACCAGTGTTTTTTTTGTTGACAGTCATGGAAATTGTATAATTTGCCATGAAATTCAAATGAGGCTCCAAAGGAAAAGCTCATCCCCCACCAACATCACCAGTTCTAACAATTTCCGGTGCCTCATAACTCTGCAGTCTTACAGTAGCTTCAGTTCTCATCCTTCATATACTACTGGACATCAAAACACATTTATTGACATCTATGGTATCAGGCTTCTATCCCAGTTTTAGCGCACTCTGGTAGTGTAGTGCCTTGATGGAACTACAGACTGAATAGTTGACTCCTAACCAGAAGGCTCGCAGTTCAAACCCACCAGCCACTCCTTGGAAGGAAGGTTGAGCAATCTAATTCTGTAGTGATACTGCTTCGGAAACTCAAGGAGGGATTGCTATGAGTCGGGATCAACTCCACAGCAGTGAGTTTGGTTTGGTTTTTTATCCTAGTTTTAACTCCCTCCCAACTAGGTTAATGCACTAGCCAATTTGAGGAACCATGGATGCCTTTGGGAAGTGGTGAATGCTCTCCACAGACTAACAGACACTCCTGTGCAGAATTCAGCACCAGTCTTGGGAGCTCATGCAGTCCATGAAACCCATCAGTGGACCCCAAGTCAAGAACCTACACAACAGCCTGTTTTTGGCCTCCTCCACATCCAGCATCTTGTGTGCCTCATGTATACAAACAGACATTTTTACTGTGCCATTCCTGTGAATCCCTGGGTGACTGACAATTATGTGTTCCACTGAATGAAAACTCTTAACCACAAACTTGAAGGCCCACCCCAACTGGTCTTTGTTTCTCACGACACATTGACTCAAGGACTCTGTACTCAAATCTACTTGTCTTTTCTACACAATATTCCAAACTGCTTAGCTCCCTCTGTGGAAACTGCCCTCCTCT